AACAGCCCCACCTCACCCTACAAGTTAAAGATTCAGAAAGGAAATGGCCCTTTTCATGCAAATTAAATTGAATATGTCAGTCAGTGTAATTATGAAAGCAGAGGTGTCTTGGGCTCGGGGTTTATGCCCAAAAAAAAAAAAAAAAAGGAAAGAGGCGCTGACAAAAAGTCAGTTTATTAATGTCCTCTGCAGTGTTTGATTCATGCTCTCTGTAATGGCTTGGCAGATCAAACGTCACTTCATTGCGGATTCCTGATGACTTGAAATGCTTTGGCCATTGTGCAAGGAAAAGTCAGACTTGGAGCTTTGTGAGATCACTTAAATCTGATATTTGGCTGTAGGTTATGGCGATGTCAAACACGGCAGTAATGAATGCATATCTGCTCTGGCTGCCGGGTAAAAAAACTGCAACCAATGGAAAAATGTGCAGTAGCTGTCGGTTCTCGGTTGCAAAGTTCGCTGAAGTTCAGAGGAGTCTGACCTTGTAGCAGGAACAAGAGAGAGTTTTTGGGAAGCGTCTGTAACCTTCTGCCAAGAATGATGAACAACGGGTTTATTTTAATCTGAGCTGGAGTCGCATTCATATCAAGAATCCGTATTGCCATCTGTAAATTCATCTTTAGGATGGTTGAACTTGTTGGCTCTGTACTTTTCTACTAATCCAGGTTTTATGACTTGCAGGTGTGACTTTATTTTTCAAGATCTCTTAAGTTTCGCCTTACGAAGGCTGCTCCTCAGTTCACACCTAGATCTTTTTTTGCACTTTTCCCGTTCTGACACAAACGATACTTTCTCCATCATGCTGCTATAAAATAGTAGATAGCAAAGCATGAATTGCTTTTCTCACAAATGACTATCAGGTTAACTAATAAAATATTTTGACTTTTCATTTAGCTGAGAGTTTAGTAAAAAGTCAGCCAAAGGTTAGGGACATAAACGAGAAAAAACAGAACTTCTTTATTTTTTTAAACTATTTCTGTCCATTAGACTAAACATTTTGTCTTTTGTAAATGTTTTACGTTTTCATGGTGAATTACACAAATTTAGCATAAATGAGCGAGGAAGAAAACTGAAAATCAGTCTCTGCCAGTTGAAGCCTGATCATTGCCTTTTTAGGTGTTATTTCTGTTTGCATTAAACCATCATCAGTGAATCTGGAACCACTCTGTGAAAAAAATAAAATAAAATAATTACTTGAAGTCATAAAACAGTCTGCTTTCCTTAACCCAAAGTCTCTCTGATGCCAAATTATAAAGATGACACTCATCAGAGGAACTGTGGGAACGCTCCGAAGAGCTCCCCGCTCTTTTCGTGTGAACAAAGAGTGATCAAGGTTATGTAATGACCTCCAGGGAGGGCAGTCGCAGACTCTCGTCACCAGCCTTTTAACTTGTGACAGGCTTTACGCTTCTCATTTGTTTGCCGGCAGCAGCTTAGCAGTGGATTAGCAGTTTCCCAGCCGCAGTATTAATTAATGCAGCTTATGGTTACCTCTCGGAGGAGATGTGCACGTGTGGCTTAGGTGAAAGGAGCATCTTTCAGTTTGGACTCATTCTGCGAAAAAAATGCTATTCTAAATGATAGTCTCTGTTAATGAAATTAATTTCTGTTCAGATTAGCAGGATTACAGTCAAACAGATGGGACACACAAATTTTGGGGATGATGTCATCTTCTAAGACGGTCGCAGAAAAAGAGTTGGGGGGGATTCTGTAGCTCTGTGTGTTTATGGTTTGCAAAATGTTCCTTCCCCCCCCCCCCCCATTCTTCTTCTTCACGGGCCATATCTTATTGCTTGCTGTCATGGCTCCAGTCGTGGCATTGTTGGAACAAAGACGAGGTTTCAATCAGCCTCCATCTACCTGAAGCCATACGAGGAGGCTCCCAAAATTGATGTTTGTCAGCAGCAGACCTAAAATGAGTGCATGATGGCGATATCAGCGGCCGTGTCTTTGAAAACACCATTACCTTCACGTCACGCCTCAATCATTCCCCATTGTGCGATGACATCAGCCCACCCCAAACAACCCCATTCCCTCACCTCCAGCGCTGATCTCCCGTACACGCTGTAGAAGTCTATTACAACCGGCGTATGGAGACGCAGCGAGCCGTAATGCATGGCCCCGGAGCGAAAACAACCCCAATAGCATATCAATTACCCATCAGCACCTTCTTGGTCGGATGCCAGCGTGCGCCGCACTCCGGCTAAGTCAAATTAGCTGGAGTGAAAATGCAGCTATACCTGTGCGCAAATGGCATACTGTAACCTCTGCTTCTAATTTTTCCAGACAGAAAAAAAGATTTACAGGAATATTTTTTGCCTCAGCAGTTTTTATTATTATTATTATTATTATTATTATTATTATGATAATTATTATTGGGAAGCCCGAGGGGTTGCTGATGTCTGCGAGTAGTAAAGGAAGTGGTATGCCGTGAGGAAATCAAGCGATTTCCCAGCCTCTTTTGCCCGGTGGAAGTTAAAGCTGCTTGCCTGTTTATCTGCTCGCCCTTTTGATTGCCGACCACACATCCTTATGTCACCTCTCCACGAATCCTGCAGGTTAATTTGTCCCTCAATCGCACCGCTGCCTGCGCCGCTTCTGGGCAATACAATCCGAAAGAGGTTTTTTGGGGGTTGGGAAGTGGTAAATCAGTTTGCACATAGTCAGACAGGGAGTAGAACGGGCACAATGACACGTCGTCACACATACAGATGAGGCGATTGAGCCGGTCGGCATTACCGCAGCCCGGTCGGCCCGCTAACAGCCCAATGAATTGATTGATAAAAGGGAAGCAGTTGTTTCACAGATGGAGCTGCGCCGCCCACCGAAGCCAGAGCTCAGGCTTTGACCAAGTTTGTTTGTTTTGCACTGTTCACACGCAAGGTCATTCAGACGGGAAAATAAGGAATCATAGGCAAAGAAAACGACATCAAATATCACTTGAATGAAAAAAAATAGCAAAACGGGCATCACCTAAAAACACGAAAAAAAGAATTGCTTAAGAGATGATTAAAGAAAGACCTGATTACTGACCTCAAACATGCATGGATGAGTCAAAACAACATGCATTTCTTTCTCGTCGCTTTTTAGAATTGCCAAAAGTCGCCAATTAGCCCCAGACTGCCATTTAACACCTGGAGTCATCTGTTCAGTCCAGTTTATTTATGTAGAGCCAACCAACTGTCAATGCAGTTCAATGAAGTTAATTACATACGTTCTTGTCTGAGTTACTTATCTAGTTATCAAACAATGCAGCCAAGTTCAGTTTATTATTCTGTTTGGTAAAATTACTGTTCAATTCCACTGACTTCAGTCTCTAAATCAGTACGTTTTGCATACATTTACAAAACTGTCACCCGTTGCAGCTGTACCAATAAAAATGTTATAGATCCTTCACTACTAAGACGAATGTCTTTTAAAACAAACTTTTAACTGGAGCGTGAAGTCTGCGAATCAAAATGTGTAGCTTCTCTGATGGGCAGTTGCATTTATTGGACTGTAACAAAAGTCTAGGGCTGTAGGATAATATCGATATCGCGATATATATCGATATTTTCTTTCCTAGAAAAAAATCGATATTCAACCTCAAGCATCGTAACATCCAACTGTCACCTTGCTCACTCACTGCTTGCTTTGCTGGGAGAGTGATTAGGTCATCAGGTTTGGAGTGATTCCTTCAGATGTTAAGTGTCAAGGTTAAAAAGGTGTCAAACTATTCAGAGCAGGGTACTTGGTGCACTTTATTTACTTTATAAATCCATGTAAGCTACAGTTTGTACTGTTTCAATTAAAAGAAACATGTTTTCTCACCACTTCTTTGATTCTTTTTGTCCAGCTGTCGACTTTAAGTCCATGTCCAACCAGAGCCACGTATTGTGTAGTTGGTGCTTTTAGTCAGTTTTCAGTTAAATTAATTCAATCCAACTCTATAACAGTCACCAAAATCACTCTGTCCCTCTAAAATCTTTCAGAAAATCGCAAAAGTGTATCGAATTGTATCGTCTGATGAATATCGCAATATGCATCGTATCGTGGACAGAATATCGCGTATCGTATCGTAAGATTACTGTATCACTACAGCCCTACAAAAGTCTGGGCTTTTTATTAATACTTTTAATTTCTGTTAAAGAACTGCAACTCCATCATTATGAAAATCCAAACCCCGCCAGATCAGCACAAAGCAAACACAATTTCACTATCTTTTGCACTTTTAGCTTTAATTAAGCTTTTTCTTGTTCGCCACAGAGCCGTTATCTTGAACTTGGTGAATAACATTTCCAGCAACAGAAGGCTCACAGTGACGAACCGTTTTGACACACATTCATTGTATTTCCTTACCACAGAGCACTGTCTCTGCTTCCGTCTTGTGTTATTTTGATTTAAAGCTTAGTAATGACTGCAGCTGCTTTTCTTTTTAAAAAGCAGAGAGATGTGCAGCAGCTAAGACTGGGAAATTATGAGAGAACAAAATGTTGACAGTGTAACATTGAGTAATCTATCTTAATAAAACTGATAAAGGTGCGACAGCTTTACGGTCCTAAACAGAGGATTCAAGTCTAATCCACCAGCCAAGCAACATGTGATGCAAATTTTCTGCAATTTTGTAGGAGAAATGGCAAACCGGACTTGCTAATTGTTATCGTGAACGATATCACGTTTAAATTTCTCTGCTCGTTTTAAAAATTCATTTCTCTTTTTTATGTTTTATATGATTTAATGGGAATGAAACTGAATACATCATTGAACAAGATTTCTTAAAGGGCGGTTGGCTCCGTTGGTTTAGCGCGCGCACCGAATGCAGAGACTGTCATCCTTCACGCGGTTGTCTTAGGTTCGATTCCCAGTTTCATGCCATTTGCATCAACTTTATCTTTTGACTTAAGTGTGCAGATATGTTGACTCGGTAAGAAAGTAGAATTTCTCTGCGTGCGCTCAATAAACGTGATCACTAACATTGTTTTGCAATTTCCTTTCTGCTCTGTCTCTGTGTGTCTTTCCAGCACCGCCAAAGTTTTTAAGAACCCCCAATGACCAAACAGGCGTGCAGGGAGGCGTGGCGTCCTTCATCTGCCAGGCCACCGGAGACCCACAGCCGAAGATTGTGTGGAACAAGAAGGGGAAGAGAGTCAGCAACCAGAGATTTGAGGTATTAGGTCTATTGTTCTGATGTAAAATGCTCGACAAAATCGGAATGTTTCAGCACTGCTATTTTGGCTCTGCTTGCAACACAATCCATTGCATTGCAAGTCCCATTTGCTTGCTTTCCCCCCGCCCCTCGAATTGCCACTACGCATTAGCGGCCTCTAATAACCACGCTGACCCAGCTTTAAATATGCATGAGTTTTAACAAGAAAGATACAGTGATAAATTTGAATAAGTTGCAAACGGAAAGCAATTGGGCAGATTAGGAAAAAAAAGTCCTTGTGGTGTGACCCAGATCCTTACATTAGCATCACACCACGTTTTCCAGCTTCATGCAAAGTGAAAGGGGAAGCGGCACTTTCACTTGGAAAGATCCTTTTGCTTTGTGGCATCTTTATGCGAATGCATATCCCACCCTCTTTATTTTGGCTGAAGCTTTGATTTCCAGTCGGCATTAATCCACATTTGAGCTTAACACCATCACAGAATCATTGCAGAGCACTGATAAGATCTCTATTAATTTCTGTCAGTCCTCTGGACTTTTCTTTGCTACACGGCGGCCATACTTGTTAGCTCCCAAAGGCCTAATGGAGCTCAAACCTCTTTTTCACGTCTCACGCCTACAGAAATCCAATCTTATCAGAGTTCATCGCGTTTGCATCGCACGTCCAGCTGAATGCTAACACGTTAGTTTCCATTCATCCACCCATTGCCCCGCGGGGGCTCGCTCTCTGCTACAATTCTGCACCCATTCAATCATGCACTGCCACCTCATCTTCTAACGAAAACCCATTTCCTTCTGGAAGCCCCACAACTTCCTTTCTAATTTGCTCTTTGGCCCAAACTCAGAAAGGAGGCTGTTTTCACCATCACCTGCTGACACCTGGAGTGCCAACACTGCTTTAGCTTGGCCAGTGAGATGTTGCAGAGTTTTGTTAACTAACACATGCTCAGATATACTGTGTACTTTTAAAATGTCTGTAGGCCTCGGTGTGTTTGTGTGTGGCTGCGTGTGCCTGTGTGTGTGGGAGAGAAAGTGGTCTCAGGCCTATCTTTTACTTGAATCTACCTCTATGCTTAAGAGAGATTGAGTTATGACACAGATCTTTCTAAAATCAGTGAGTATACAACACGTAGCATGCAACGATAGCTGAATAAGCTACAACAAACACCTGTTTGTGAAGCATTTTATGTGTCGTTCGTCCAGCAAAAGTTGGTCCTGTCTCTCGTACCACAAACCTCACCTCATGGTACAAAATGTCCGTAACCGAATACCAAGCCACCGTTTACTGTTTGTGCTTGTTTTCTGTCCCATTGACACGATCCAGTGTGTTGCATTTTCCCTTCAGGAGACAGAATGTTAACTTTAAGAGTGGGACACATTCAGACTTAAAATTCACTCTGCAACAAAATATCTGTGCAAAATAAACATCCAGCCCCATTCTTAAAGTTAGTCAGCCACATCAGTTAATGCACTAGGTTTCATTTACTAAAAGTGAATATCTATAATATATATATCTGGAGCGGGCATGGGCCGGTTACCTGTAACAATATGTCAGTTTTGAATGGCTAGAACTGCTACGGTATTCCTTTGCACAGTTGCTACATTATTATGTTTTCTTTTATGGAGATGGCAGAAAAAGCTTTTCTATAGTTGTTTAAAGGAGCACTTTGCAGCTCCTAGCATACCTGACACTAATCTTTTACCTAGCAACCATAGCTAGCTAAAATTGCTAGCTAATGCGGCATTTTTGAAATCTGAAAATAGAGAAGTGATGAGGGTTTTCGCCGGGTGTTTTGGAGTAGTGCAGCCCTCTCCTAATCCACCTGCTCATGCACACTGCCTGTCAGCTAGCTGAAAGAAGGCTAACGGATGTTTTGTTACTTAACAGAAAGACAAATTTGACTTTTTAGATATACTTCTGAACACACATTTCAGTGAAAAAGAGAGGTTGGGACTCAAGATTTTTTTCTTGAAAACTGCAAAATGCATTCTGTCAGCTAAATACAATCATTAGTAATAGACAAGAAGACAAAACTAGCATTAAATGGACTAAAGGTTTCTCAGGAAAAAAAAATTAACTTTCTTCATAAAAATATGGCGCCATAATACATTTTACATGACTAGCTACTGCCACACACTAGCTAGCTAATGATGCTATAAGCTAGCTTAGCGAAAGCTAAAGGACATTTACCTTGCCTACATGGTAAACAGATTTGACGTTTTGGAAAATTTTTTGTCATACTTGTTAATTAATGCTGATTTAAGACTATAGTTGCAAGCCACAGGTGACATATATACCAAGCTAATACCAGCTTGTTATACTTGTTAGTCTATGACGAGCAGAAACAGCAAAAACACAATATTAATGCAATATGTACTTGAAAAACCACTTGTAAGTAGCCTATGGAATATTTTTATTCATAGAAATCAAACAAGAAATAAATCTTATAACATTATAATAAATGTAATATATTACTAGGAATTATTGTTTCTGCTTTAGGTAATCTATTATATTTTTGTATCGCCTACTATTTTTTTTATTAGTTTTATAAAATATCACGCCGTGAGACTCTCATCCCGGCCCGTGCCTAACCTGGACACAACAAAAAGTCTTATTAATGCACAGATATCCTTACTTGTTAAATAAACATCCACAAATATACAAAAAAAATAAAATAAAATCTTTACATTAAGGTAGGCAAACGGCTGTTTCTGTCATAGGAAGCACATTTCGTCAGTCTCCATCGTTGTTGTTGAACTGTCGTTAACTTTATTTTTCAGTTGTTGTTGATATTATTTTCTGTGGAAGGTCCCTCACTCATTGTGAACAAAAAAATCTCCTTTAACATATCCTGTCTCTCGCACCTGCAGGTGATAGAGTTCAGCGATGGCTCTGGCTCCGTGCTAAGAATTCAGCCGTTGCGCACGCCCCGAGACGAAGCCATATACGAATGCGTCGCCTCCAACAGTGTTGGAGAGACGAGCGCCACCACCAGGCTGACTGTTTTACGTGGTAGGTCTTTTGTCATCAGCCCCCCAAACCCTCAAAGGAAGAAATTAAAACAAAAACAAAAAACAAAGCAGTCCAACACGCATACACCTCTTACATGCACGTCTCTCTACCTGTAACAGGTAAGGTTACATTTATCTGTTTATTTGGTCTTTGCTGTCATTGTTGTGTGCAAATAAACCCCGGTTCCTCTCGACGCTGTGTATCCTAACTTGATAAGATTTAGTCCATTAGCTGTGTAGCCGAGTAAGTTTTTGTTTCTAAGTGACTTAAGACATTTGCATACCGATTCCTGACACAATAATTAAGATGCCAGTTAAATTATGCAAATAGCCATCCTTTTCTCTAGCCTGCGGAGGTTTAATGAAAAAAGCTCAGCAATGATTTTCAAATCAGTCATTTTTCATCTCCGTGTTTCAGCTTTGATACTCATTTGATCGTCTGTGGGAAGAACAAAAAAAAAAAAAGCATGCTATTCTTATCCGATTAACTGGCGTGCTGTTTATTGTTCGTAGCGGAGTCCTAGTGGCAGGTTGATTCAGGCTGCATCTTCCAGTGATCACTAGCTGTTGAAACGCATGCTTTACAAATCTGGACAGGAAAGGTCAGGGCAAGAGTTAGATGGGAAAATAAGCCGGATGACGTTGTCTTCCTTTGTAATTAGCTCTGGGTAAAATTTAATCTTTATTAGACATAACAATCCTTTCAAAGGCAAATGTGTGCTTGCCCTGAGCTCAAAAGACAGTGTAATATCTCTCTAAAACATGACTTGTTTGGGTTGTGAATGGAGAAAATAGCTTTGGAGTAATAATAAAAATGGTCTTGGGCTGTTTGAATGAGGTGTGCTCCATTATGCTCTGCAATTACACAACATGGAAAATGAGTTTCTATTGAAAGAGGTGCTTCTAACCTATAAAAAAAAAAAAAAAAAAAAAAAAAAAAAAGGCCTCGGGACCCTGAAACCCCCCCCCCCCCATAAAACCCCCCCCCCCCCCCCCTTTTCCCCAAAAAG